AACTGTGTAACTGTGTCGAGCCAGCTCCTTCTCCTACAATGCATTTCTTAGGAACAGGGACACGTTTGAAATAATCGCCTTTTAAGCAGGGTTTACAAGTGACAACATAGATGTGAAAGGGCCTTAAATCACTACTTCGCTCTCAAGCAGCTGATTCACTTTCTCTGTCCTGTCTACAAAGATCACAACACCGCTGTACATCCGGGACACAGATTTTACCGTCATAGCCAACAACATCCGCTACATTTAGACTACGTTCTTCCACTGAACAGCCAACATCTGAAGAAGGTTTGATGGCGTGTCGGTGTGTCAGATTGCCTAAGCCAGGGCCTCCGCCTTTGCAGTAGATGTGTTTAAGACTCAGCATAGATTCCTTTTGATCAGGGTTCAGTGTACTGTGGCCTTCTGTCACGTAGCCTGGCCAGCGGAGGGCGACTAACCCCTAATTGTTAGCTGTATAGGAGAACAATTGTATTAAACAAAAACAAGCCAGTTAATGAACTAAATTCTTTTCACAAGTAGGTGTCAGGTTCTGATGTTCTTGAATTCTTCCACTGGTCTCTCCAAAGTTCTTCTTTTAGTCTTGACCAACATCTTTTGACCCAGAAAAGGTTTAAACAACTGGCACAAGTAGTCAGGAGTTTCTAGGGGCAAGTCCTGTCACATTTGGTGAGGTTACTTTTGGGATCAGCTTAATACTTCTCTCTGGCATAAGCAAAAGATATACTCACTTCACATCTCTTCCAAAAAAGGTCTGTAATATAATGCACTTGTCTCCAGCATCAGCAGGAGTACTGCTGGCATGACTGTTTTTGTTGTCAAGAGGAGTAAGTCAGGAGTAGGAGGAGTCAGTGTGTAGATAGCTTATCACTTCTGAGTGAACTGCACGAATCACTAGGCAGGTGAAAAATCACTCCATAGTGTTTTACCGCAGAGAGGCCCTGCTTTACTTCCAGCCTTTAACCCTCATCCTACCAACATATTAACATACAGGGACTTCCTACTGTATAAACAGATTCAATAACTGTAAGTGTGCAATCAACACATGTCATCCTCAATTAATTTATTGTGTAAAATGAAAACGGAGCACATGAGGAAATCAGTGTCAGTTGCATCTGTGTCTGTCTCCTTCAGAATTAAATGACAGACTCCCTACCCCCTGATAGTGTGTCATAATGTAATTTTGTATCTATTAAAACTCAAAGGCTGCAGCTGGGTGAGTGAGTTGATGGAGCAGGTACAATGTTAGCAAAGCCTAACACTAATCGATCCAAACTCCATTCAGAAAACAAGCATTTTAAAAGCTTTGACCTAAAAAAACTATGAACTATTAAGACATTTTATTTCAGCATCCTTTTTATCCTGCTGTTTTTAAATTATAAAAACAATGTGTTTATTTTGGGTTCATACAGCTGACATGTGGCTTGCTAGATACCGTGAATACGGCGTTCGGTTTCCAAGGTTCAAAGCAGCAACAGGGGTATGTTTGCTCATGTTCGCTCATGTTCAATGTCAGTAATAACTAGAAAAGGCAGGGCAGGTAAGACTGTGAGGTCACCTCTCAGTAGGTCTTGCAGAGATAATCATCAATTCATGTTCATAACTCAATTTGAAATTCTCCAGAACAACACACTGTAGCATATACTCTACTCCCTCATCATCATCATCAGTGATCTATGTGTGTTGGATGAGTCTACTTTGAGGAAACGATGCCTGAGGTGTCTGTGTGAAAGAGATGAAATCAGTGGCCATTTCGTTTCATTTGCCCACCGCACCCTTTTCAGTGTTGGTGTGCGTGTGTGTGTGTGTTGGGGGTGGTGAAGCTGCACTCATGCAGATCCTCGTAGTGTCGTAGTGGCTGATGGATAGTGTTGTGACTGAGCCCACAGTCTTAAACAACAGTGAGTTAATTGAAGATGATCTCCAGATAACGAGTCCTGACTGGAACATTTCTCTGTGTTATCCCTCAGCTCTACTGGGCTCGTTTCTCTCTTTCTTTCGCCACTCCTCTGTAAATACGGCATTTGGTTTCCCAGGTACAAAGCAGAAATTGTGGTTATTTAGGCCGTGACTGATGAAAGATTGTCTACGTGGAGGTAAGGCCCTCCTCCTCTCCGGTGTGTCTAGCACGAGTGAACAAATAAACACAAATGATCCCACGGTCAAACTTGCGTGAGTAGCGTGATGTGAAAATTTGCGTTGCTTTTGGTGTGAACATAAGCGACTCACTAGGCTTGCAACTACCGCCAATGTAAACCCAACCGTGTCATTATTACACACACAGTCACTGAGCATAAGTGAGAGATGGTCCACACAGGGCCGGTGGGAGGGGAGATGGATGGGTCAAACAAACAGGAGGCCGCTGTTCTTGTCCCATGTGAAACTGATTTGTTGCGTCAGTCGTTAGGTCTGTGAGTCGTTAGTGTCGGTAGGCACGCGACTTACATGAGTCGCTAATCGTGTGAGTCGTTAATCAGTCAAGTTAAAGTCAACCACGCTTTTTTCCTAAACCTTACTAAAGGGTTTTGTTGTCTTAACCTAACTTCCTGTGAAGACAGAAGTTTATTTCTGAAAAGTCACTATGCATGTTACAAGTGTATGTTGACGCGCCATCTCTGACGCATCCAAAACTGACATTGGAGGGGAACTTGGAGCATCATAATTTGAAGCTTACTCACTAAGTGTATCCTCCAGTTCATAATGCATTAAAAAAGCTGGTGGGAAAATGTCTGGAAGAGCGCTTTGTTAGATAGCATGCAGCCCTGTTATTTAATACTTGATTGTTGTCCTATCATTGAAGGTGTTTCGGGAGTAAGACCAAATGCAATGTAAGATTGTCGTACCAACAGTGAGATAAGATATCAGATGTGCGGTTAGAGGGAATGTGGATGCGCTCCCAAGGGAATTTGGGTGAGCTGTGCTTTCTGAGATACGTGGCTTATGATTGGAATCTACATTTCTATACTGGTCATTAACCAAGGGCAAACCAACTCAGTGTTACATTTAGACCTCGACCATGTATGTCATACCTTTAAGGAGGTATGTTTGCTCATTTTCAATGTCAGCAATAACTAGAAAAGGCAGGGCAGGTAAGACTGTGAGGTCGACTCTCATCATCAGTGATCTATGTGTGTTGGATGAGTCTACTTTGAGGAAACGATGCCTGAGGTGTCTGTGTGAAAGAGATGAAAGCAGTGACCATTTTGTTTCATTTCCCCACCCCACCCTTTTCAGTGGTAGTGTGTGTGTGTTGGGGGGGGTGAAGCTGCACTCATGCAGATCCTCGTAGTGGCTGATGGATTGTGTTGTGACTGAGCCCACAGTCTTAAACAACAGTGAGTTAATTGAAGATGATCTCACAGATAACGAGTCCTGACTGGACCATTTCTCTGTGTTATCCCTCAGCTCTGCTGGGCCCGTTTCTCTCTTTCTTTCTTCACTTCCCTGCTTCTCTTCTGTATTTCACTTTTATCAAGATTACAATCATTTCTTCCGTCTTCGCTTCTCTCTGTCTCATCGCAGGCATAACCACTGTGTCCTGAGCAAGCTATTTGACAGGAAATGGCAATTTTACTGGGAGGATTAGGCCTTTGATGTTGTTAGATGATAGCTATCTGCGATCTCCCTTTACTTCTCCCATTGCCTGCATTCCTCTTCGGCCAGGGTGGCTCTGTGTATTTGTCATTTAGAACGGCCCTCAATCATACGGGGATATTTCTTGATTCATAGTTCTTTTAAATTTAATTTAAATTATATAGCGGCAAATCATGACAAAAGGCACTTTACAACATTTTCACTCCATCTCTTAATAGTTCAGCCTTCTGCTTGAGTTCACCGCTTAACCTTCTATTTACTAATAATACTACTAATATTAACAGTTTGAGGGTTTTCGAGGTGACAACCATTACTGGTCTTATTTAACCTTATGAACCTTTTGTTTATCCTTTCAATGTCTACAGTCATTTTCTGGTTGAATTGAGAAACAATCAAAATGGCCACACACCTTGATTATTACATTATTAGGCTAATAATGTAATAATAATGTATCAGCTCTGTAAAGAAATTGAAATAAAAACATGTTTAATTGCTACGGTATGTGGTTTGAATCAAAGCATTCACAGACTTGACAATGACTGTCAACTGTCTTATAAAGACTTGTGACTTGGACTTGCCCTCAAGAACTTGAGATTTGATTTGATACTTGCTTTGACAGGATTTGAGTCTTGACCTGAGGCCTGTCCTATGAAGCAGGATTTGGGGTTAGTGACATAACTTCAGGGTTAACTCTGAGTTTTTAGTCCTACGACGCTGGTTCACTTAACCTGCTGTTATGGTTGTGTTGGAGACACAGATCAAGTCCTATAAAAGCACTGCCTACTGATCAGGTTTCGGTTCATGGATCATAAGATAATATTACACAAATATGAAAAAGGGAAAGTCATAATTCAGACTGAAAGTAACACAGTTTAAACTAATAAGTTAAACAATACTTGTAATCAACACATTAACCTGACTGAATACACAGATGTAATTATAGTCAGATCTATCGTGCTCTAGATGTTCAGGGATATTATAATTGTGTTAGTTTACACATTCACACAGTTACTTTCATTCTGAATAATGTGTTTAACTTCTTTGTACTTGTCCATGTTTGTGATTGGTCAGATACTGCTAACTTTATGTGAACCTCAGAGGCAGATTGAGAAACCCTGGGTTGATTTACCGAGTTAATATCCAGGTTTGAATGACTGCCTAGATGAATCGCGGTTGTTGGGGTTAGTGAAGCCAGATAACCAGAAGATACCCTCGGTATGATTAACTCACCTTCTAGTACGGGGCACTGGACTTTCATCAGTCTGATTTAAGAAGAGCTCTGGTTCCTGCATCTAATATAAGATATGATCCTGAGGAAAGTATTCAAATCTAAACTGCTATGTTTTTACTGCTAAATATGGGCTTTATTTGAATCTGTCCTTTCCTCTTTTTTCTTCTCACCACAGCCAGGGAAGAGAATGTAGCCACTTTCCGTGGCTCAGAGTACTTCTGCTACGATCTCTCCCAGAACCCCATCCAGAGCAGCAGCGATGAGATTACGCTCTCCTTCAAGACGTGGCAGCGCAACGGCCTTATCCTCCACACCGGCAAGTCAGCTGATTACGTCAACCTGGCACTGAAGGACGGCGCCGTCTCCCTCGTTATCAATCTGGGCTCCGGAGCCTTTGAGGCTATCGTGGAACCAGTCAACGGGAAGTTCAACGACAACTCGTGGCATGATGTCAAAGTGACCCGCAACCTCCGGCAGGTAAGGCATAGGGATGGTTAGGCAAAGTTTTCTTACATCTCATCTTATTAAGATTTGGTTGATTGGTAAGTGGGTTCACAGGTAGATAGTTAGACAGGTAGGTAGGTAGGTAGTTAGGTAAGAACACAGGTAGGTAGGTAGGTAGTTAGGTAAGAACACAGGTAGGTAGGTGAGAACACATAGTGGTAGGTGGGTAAGTAATTAGACAGGTAGGTAGGAGGGTAAGTAGACATGTAGGTAAGTAAACAGGTAGGTAGGTCGGTAGGTAAGAACACAGGTGGACAGATAGGTAGGAAGGTACGTAAATAGACAGGTGGGTAGTAGGGAAGAAGACAAGTGGGTGGGTAGGTAGGTAGGAAGTAAGAAGACATTCAAATTTCATGGAACATGCCTTGATAGATCTAGACTTTTCTATAACACATATATCACTTTAAAATATTTTTGAGAAAGACAGCACACATGGTAGAACCTTGGTAAGGAGACAGACCACAAACATCTTTACCTCTGGATGCTTTTCAAATCCATTTTAACATTGCCTCGGTTTCCACCTGTTAACCTCAACCCTTGTCTGTAAGTAAGAAGTGACTTACAGAATGAAATGAACCATTGTTTTTACTAACATGTGTACTAACTCATTCACTTTTCATCATTTGGTTTTCATTTGTTTTAATGTATTAACAAACATTCTGGTCAACTGTGTAAATTCGTTTCTTACCCACCCCACCTTTTTGAAAAGCACAAAGGGCAAACAGGCAATGGACGCGCTATGGTAAACACACTCCATTGTATGGTAGATATCATCATTATTATCCTTTTTTTAGTTTGCTGTGTACTTTTCCTCTTCATCTTCTTGGACTTTAGTACATAGAGATTCCATTCCCCCACGAAAAAGCAATGGTATTTCCCGGCTTTCATGTTTGTTTTACTTGTCCTTCTGTCGTTCTCCTGGTTGCTTTTCTGCTTTCCTTTTTATCGTCATCCTCTTCTTTAGTCGCACATAACATTTGCTCCTCTAGGGTTTTACTAAAACTCTTTCATTGCAGATTTTTCTGTTAGGGTGTTTAGATAACTGTTAAGAAGCATATTACAACCAAAATTAGAGAGAGACAAAATCCACACTGAAAGTCTGAAAATAGTTTCCTGTGCACTACAGCATATGTGCATGACCTGACATGGACTAAATCCACCTTACACCAGACTCACATTTTATCACACTCCTGAACAAGTGAAAACTAGAGATAACTAACAGTGCATTGGAAAACTTGGTAGCCACCAAATCCACCTGGGCTCGAAATACAAATTGTCTGTGTACATGCACTCGTGTATGAAACTTTTAAAATTACTTAAATCAAAAACTTTGTTGAGTGTACTTGTCCTTATTTCTCGGCACTATCACTGTGGCCGGATTCAAAAGAACTCCCAAATCGACCGCTGTGCAGCCAGATAAAAATGTTGACATTGTATGTTTCTGTTAATCACGGATACATTAAATGAGGCTGTTTTTTGTTTGTTTTTTGCATTTGGTCGGAGCAGTGTTTTAGTACTCGTTATTGAAAGTTACGTGGTATAATAATGAGTATAACAGGTCAGAAAGTCGACTGAGGGGTGGGAGGGAGGCGGAGATTGTAGGGATGGTTGGGTCAAAAAAACACGATGTCTGTTCATGTCCCGTGTGAAACCAAAAGTCAACGTTGACTTTACCCTTGTTATGCAACAGCATTGTGCTTCTTAAGTAACATTATGTAACTTTGCGCAAGACAGGGTTGTTTTTAATTATTTATTACACTAGTTATGTTATTACATTGTTAGACTATTATTTTAATACAAACCATGATGTTTGTCGAACCGTAACCAAGTAGTTTTGCAGCCTTAACCTACCTATGTAATTTGAGTAAAGTGAAACTATTTCCAATTGTAAATGGCCTTTTGGCCGCTCCGAGAACGGGTACCATAACAACACAAATAAGATGCTCATCAAAATCCAAGCGGTGGCTGACTTGACCAATTTTTTGGGGGGCTTTCTGCCTTTATTGGATAGTGATAGTCAGGAAAGGGGGAGAGAGAGAGAAGGGGGGGTCAGTGTGTGACAGTTGGCAGCCCTGAGTTCTGTCCACTGGTGCATGTAGAGCAGAGAAATACTGTATGTGCACAGCTAAAATGTATCATGCACTACTGTGGATTTGCACGTGGTATTTGGAGCCCTAGCCACTAACACCACAAGCATTTTGACTGAACAATAATCATACACAGATGTGACACACTTGGGAAGTCCACAAAGCACTAGGAGAGGACGTTTACTGTTGTAAATAAATGTTTAGATGGTAGGTAATTACAATATAAACTTACAACAGTGGATGATAATGAAGATTGAAAGAGTAGACGTGGTTTCAGTATAGCACTTGGTTAAAGTAAGCTAAGCAGCAAGTGATTGCTAAGAATTAAGTAGTTTAAGAAGCCTTTATTAAATAAATACATTGATAATATAATGAATCATTACATACAAATAATTCAGTGTTTGCACCCATTGGTGGTTTACTCAGGTTCAATTGTGGTGAAGTGGGAGAAATATGACTTTATAACAGTTATATATTATGTTCTTTATTTAGAATATTTGTTTATTTATTTAATTTAGTTCTCCTTAAATTGATCACTGGAGCAAACACGTTTGAAAATGCACAACTTTTACTTTGAAGGCGAGCTGTCTCTGTTTATGGCCCTCGACTTCCTTTACTCAATAATCATTATTAAAGGTGGATAGTGGCAGCATCGGCTATCGAACAACGAACTCACACGTAGCAGAATACATTTACATTAACACAAGTAGACCAATGACATTAGGTAATACCCCTAAACTGACATTGTTCATTATACAACGTGAACAATGGCAAATGAATTATACTTCGTGCATGGACCGTCAGAGCTTGGAGGTTTTTACTACATGACTGATGTCCTGCACTGTTGGTGTGTCCTCTGCCATTCTGTGTGTCCTGTCTGCATGTTTGCATTCCATTTTGTGTGGCTTGATACTAACTCCTCCCTCCTCTCCGTTGGTTTGTGAGTGTTCTTTGTCTGCCCCTGAATGCTACTGCTGTTATCTTTATTCATTTAATCACATATTTAGACACAAAAGGAGATCAATAAAACCAGTAAACACCACATCGTTTGTGCATTATTAGAACTACATGATGAAGAATACCAATGCATGTTTGTGAGTGTCTGGAGCTAAATTCACCCTGTTTGAATTTTTATTTTGACATTTAACTAACCTTTTATACCTGTTAAAAGTTTCAACTTCCACAAATAGCATCTACTAACTTACATCAAAAATGAAGAAAATGATGGGCTGTCAGATTATCTTTATATCTGTAAACACATCACCAGGTCTGAGATCTATAATTTACACAGACCCGAGTGAGTTCTAAAACACGAGACAATCTTCGATCCTGACAATCCAAGAAAAACATTATATTTCACACTCACTGTTCATTTCTCTCTGTCAGGTGACAATATCAGTGGATGGGATTCTGACCACCACAGGTTACACCCAGGAGGACTACACCATGTTGGGCTCTGATGACTTCTTCTATGTGGGTGGAAGCCCCAGCACCGCTGACCTACCTGGATCTCCAGTCAGCAACAACTTCATGGGTTGTCTCAAGGAGGTAAAGTACCTGGCTTGTTGGAGTGAAACGAGCTGCTTGCGATCATTACTTGCTAAACAGCTCATGCCGATCTGTCCATACCATCTCTGAGACAAAACCTTGGCAGTTTAGCTGCTAGATGTTCCACTTCCTTTACCGGTCTCTGACTTTGCCTGACTAGTGTTTGGTGCTGGGCAGGTATTGTACAGTGGGTTTATTAGAGCTTTTTTGCTGCCGTGTCTGATTGATGAGAGTAGTGTCATGAACCATTCAATAAATCTACATGCCATGAAAACAAAACAGTGTGCCTGATCTCACGGAAATATGTGAAATGACCACAACCTCTTAACAGCGTATTGGGTGGTGCAGGCACCTAATGTGTTAAAATGACATGTCAGTGCCACAGGAACAATGCCAATGGACAGACATTTAGGATCCCTTTTCATGGTGGACACACAAATTCCCTGGTTCAGCAGAAATAAGTTTGGGTCAAAAATCTACAAAGGGTGGAGGTCAAACCCAGGAGATTAGTGTCCGTGTCCTGTGTGAAACCAAAACTCAATGTTGAGTTATTTTAAATGACGTAGGCTACGTATGGGGCTAATGGAACAAATGTAGTTCTTTTAACCCAAACCATGCATGATCTTTTCTTTCCTAAACATTACCAAGTGATGTTGTTGCCTAAACTTAACGTTAAATAGTTTCTGTGGTGGCAGCACATAGTTTCACACATTACAGGCCACCACAGTGTAATGTGCTGTTAGAGGGAAGTTTGCATTATATGAAGTGTGGTTGTATGAGGTACTTCTCCATAGTCAGTGTATTATTACCTACTGTAGGTAGAGTTTGGAGAAACAGACAGGAGTACCAGAACAGGAGTAAGGCAATGTACTGCTGTGTACGTATTTGAGATGCCTAAAAGTGCATTGGATTTTCATTCATTAAACGTACGCTATATTTAGAATATTTTCCAATGGGGAGCTGAACTGAAAGTGAAACTTATCTATGCTCTCTTAAAAGCCACCAGACCCAGTTGACAAAACACTATTGGCTTCTTCAGCAGTACAATGCTTTGCTCCTGTGCTGGTTTTCTTGTCTGTATACTGACTATGGAGAAGTACCACATACAACCACACTTCGGATAATCCCAAACAGAGGGCGGGAGCTACGACCATGCCGTTGGCCAGGACGGCGTTATCAGCTGTAACTGCCGTATGAGAGCAGTGCAGAGCAGCAGCACGCTCGAGAGAGAGAGAGAGAGAGAGAGAGAGAGAGAGAGAGAGAGAGAGAG